AGCCCAAGGAGACCGACGACAAGACGCAGCCGAAGCCCAAGGAGACCGACGACAAGACGCAGCCGAAGCCCAAGGAGACCGACGACAAGCAGCCGAAACCCGAGAAGACCGACGACAAGCAGCCGAAACCCGAGAAGACCGACGACAACAAGGACCCGAAGAAGAACAGCAAGGAGAAGCAGAAAAAAAAGAAGATCGAGAAGACCGACGACAAGAAGCAGCCGCAGACCCACGACAAGAACCAGCCGAAAGCGACAGAGACCGAGGACAAGAAGCAGCCGAAGACCGGAGACAAGAAGCAGCCGAAAGCGACAGAGACCGAGGACAAGACGCAGGGTGATGTGACGTGGAGCAATCTGCACGAGAAGGCCGTGTGCGATGGCGAGTTCAGTTCCGAGCCCTTTGTGAAAGACGACGAGGTCTATGTCTCCTTTGAGTCTGGCCTGGAGTGGCGGGTGCCGCATTTGGTGCCCCATGACTTGAAAGGCGGGCAAAAAGCTTTGCCTATGGTCGGAAACGCCCAGCAGCCGAAGCGGAAGCCCAAACCCAAAGCCTCTCCGAAACCAGTGCCTGATTTTGATCTAGGCTGCTGCAGGATAAAATACTGTACGCAGGGCAACAAAATGCCAATCTTGAAGTTCGAGGTGCGAGCTGACAGGACTGGGCCGTGTTCGCTTTTCAAGCAAAAGATGCAAGTGGTAGTGAAGGAAGGTGGCTTCACGGCGGAGCAGGGGATGAACTTCCTCAAAAGTTTCGCCTTTGCTTACGATGGCATGAACATGAACCCCGACGAGATAGATTTCAGGGTTTGCAAGCAATCGTTGCTTGACTACGGGTCCAAGAACGGAGTTGATTGGAGCAAGCATCTGAGCTGGAAGTTCATCAACAAGCTAAAGCTGCCGGGGTTTCCTGAGGCGAGCATCGGTTTGATTTAGCCGCTTTTTTTATTTTTGGTCTTGGGCAAGAACGATCTTCGTCGAGAGTGTGCTTTGTCATATTGAATGTAGTTAAGGCCTCAGCCTGCACCCTCGGACCACGACGGCGAGAAGGGCGACGCTGCTGATGGTGAGGGCGATGATGACGACAACGAGGGCGAAGGCGAGGAGGAGGAGCAGACAGAAAACGACCCGGCGATGGAAGGCTCCCAGCCCGCCCTCTAAACCCCAACCCTGAACCCTGAAACCCTAAACCCAAACCCGAAACCCTACACGCAACGTCGTTGTGACTACATACAAAGACTTCTTCTGTAGGAGTGCAAGCAGGATCGTAATATATATATATATATATATATGTATATATATATATATATATGCAGATTTTACATCTATGGACTTCATACGCACAGTCGCAGTCGCTGCTACAGTTCTTTGACTACAAAACGTTGCAGATAAGTGCTTTACCAGAATCACAACCCTAAGCCCTAAACCCTAAGTCCTTAGATTTAGCATACCTCCTTCCATGAACCCCCCTCAAGCTCAGGCTTGGATCGCCTCGGCTCGGCTGCTGACATGATGCTGGGGACGAATGGAGATGATCTAGTCTAGGAGTGTGCAGAGAAGTCTTTATATCGGATGTTGTGTGCTTTGAAGCCTAGCCCTGTTCTGACTGGCCCGTCCTTATAACCCATAACATCACCCCGAGGTCCTCTGCAAGAACCGTAGCCACTGATCGTAGAAGCCTCAGATGTGCTCCGGGTGCATTCATTTCCGACTAAAGGTTTTCCACTTGCGAAGCAGCACTAGCTAATTCTTATATTGGCTTATTAAGACTCCAAAACCCGACCCGAAACCATAAGCCCTGCAGCCTCTGAAAACCGAATCACGTCGTGAGCACTCTGGGGTTTCTTCAATCGATTGCAACAGGGGCTGCTCTAGGCTTGGCAGAGCTTCGGATGATCTGATGCGAAGCTGGAGTGAGATCGACCCACGCCCTAAGGTAGTCATGTATAGCAGCCTGGTAACTTTAACACTAGCAATCGTAGTTCGGATCGTCTATAGTCATACCTGTTATAATAGGTGGAGATGTGTCGGGGTATCAGACTCGTGGGCCGGCCGAAGGTATATCGTCTAGTGGGGTTGCACCCTGGGCCCTAAAGTCAAAACTCGCTAGCCTCTATAGAAGCTCTGAATTACTTATCGGTCAGGGATGAGAAACATGTCAACAGCCCCGGCTGAATCCATACGCAGGCGATCTCAACTCCTGAGACAGCATCGTTGTCCTTCATATAGTGAAACCCCAAAGACTCCACCTCTAGCTTAAGCCCTTAGTAGCAAACCCTCGGACACCATAAATTTTTAATGGCGAATCCCCGTGCACCCGTGGCCCCGCCCAGGGACTCGAGTGATGCTCTCCCAGCAGCAGCACGTACAGGCTGTCGGTGCAAGGTTTTCGGTTGTCGCATATCTAGGCAGTCTTTGTACTTGCTGGAAGAACAAGGCCATCGTCGTTTATCTCCGATAAATTATGGAAGCTAGGGTAGCAACTGTTCTTGATCGCAAGTATTGAATAGGCCGCAATGAAAAGTCTGATCCCCTTTCCGGTAGATGCTGCTATTAAGCCTAGGAACTGAACCCGGCATTCCACTATGACTGACGTTTGGGGGGGGGTTGGACGTCTGTGTTTTATGGGCTATTCGATTGTATATAAGGGCTTGGAGGCTTACAAGTACCAAGCACCGATGGCACCAGCTGCTGGCGATGCTTTTTTGAGTTGGAGGAGCAGCAGGCTGTAGCAAGTGGTCCCGCTAGTGTGGTTAATATTGCACTAAAGCTCTAAAGCTTCCTGACAGCATGGGACACAACCCGATAGCCTAACCCTAAACCCGAAACCCTATGTGGAAACGGTACGTAGCTCCCACCGATCTGCTACATTGTTGTATAACAATGCAGATGTGTGACATTTACATGGTCGGATTAGTATCCCTTTCACCGAAGTCGCACACACTGTAGTTCCTTTCCACAAGGTCATAACACATGACAGGGGTGTTCTAAGTACAGCCGACTATTGGACTTAGATCTCTGTATCGGAAGCTCTTGAATACACAAGATTAATTTCCAAATCCTTTCAGGCTTTGGGTTCGAGGGACGAACATAAGGACAGGTACGTGTTTGTAGTCGGTGTGCACGCCTGTGCATGTATTTACATTGTGCCTCTATAATGGAAAAAGGACAAACATGTGCATGTGTGTAGAAACACAGACATGTATACTAATACACTGCAGGGTAAATGTATGAGTGCTTATACATACATACATAGTCATGTATATATATATATGTATATATTTGCATATATATATATACACACACATGTCTATCTCTAATGTGTATATATGCACATTCTCTGCAAGTGTGGATATATATATATATATATATATATATGTACGTATATATGTTTTTGTGTATATATAGAATATGCTGTATACCTATATATATATATATGATAATAATAACAATAATATAGTGATAAGATAGCGATACAAAAATATCGTTCTAATTATATATGGAGGGGTTCCAGATTGAGAGGTTGTGGTGTTGTGGCCGAGTTGCAAGAACCACCATATAGAAGAGGATCCAGAATCGCCACAGCTGCTGCGAATCCTCGGATCCCGACGCAAATCATCAGTCGTCGTGCCAAAACACGGAAACCGCAGTATCCGCAGATTGGTGGTTTCACAGCCCAAAAACGACCCCGATGAAGTGTCTCCGTGAGATCGCATCCATGTACTTGAGTCATAGAGAGCCAGGGATGTTGATGAGTCAAAGTGGATCCCCGATGAGGTCCCCCGATGAAGTCTCCGCTACTGGTGCAGCCTGTGTCATGGTCTGTAGAGAGCCACAGATCTTGATGAGTCAAACTGGATCCCCGATGAGGTCCCGATGAAGTGTCCAGGTCCTGTTTTGAAGCCTCCCGGAAGCCTGAAATTAATGTATGCTGATAATCATAGCGACATAATACTGGGATCTGGATACGCAACCCAATTCTAGATCCTACTGTGCTGGCTCGTGCTAATCTAAAGACTAGAAACTTGCAATAGTCGAGGCTCCTGCTCCGGAAGTTTTTATATATATGCACCTAATGTACTCCCATGCAATTATGGCACCGAATGGATGTGGATACACAGCTGATTGTAGATCCCACCGTGGTCTAGGCTTTGTCAATCTAAAGACTAGAAACTTACTTCCTGTCAAGGCTTCTGCAACCAAAGCCTATATTTCTGGATACGCAGTGCTTTCTAGATCCGATCCGTGTGGTGGTTGGGTATTTTAAGACTAGAGACTTATAGCCCCCAAGTGGATCTAGATACGCAAACGATGCTAGATCCGATCGATATGTGGGTTTTTGTGAATGTAAAGACTAGAAACTTATATATACCCAAGCTTCTTAATTTATATCTTATATAAGAAAGTATAGCAGTAATAATAATAGGAAGCTCTTAAAATTCTTTTGCCTAGTGGATCTAGATACGCAGCGGTTTCTAGATCCGATCCGTGTTGTGGGTTTTATGAATCTAAAAATTAGAAACTTATTATTATACCCCTAAGCTTACATTCCTGCGATTAGCAGAGTATACCTGTGCATGCGAAATCGTGCGATTCGTGATGGCTCGATCGAACCTATGCAGCCGCTGAGCTGCTCGGCATTTTGCCGATTATAGAAGTAGCTCGGAAAGTTTCAGAGGTTTTGATCCTGCAGACAACATGTCTGCAGTAGATTCTGCGGATACACAGCAATGCACATCCGAGGGATTGGCCGGGGGAGAACCTGTTCCTGCGACCCCGGAAGCCTTTCAGGCCACGCAGGTCACTTCTCCCACTCCCGCTTCGACTCCTGAGACCCCCTCCGCAACCTCGGAGCCGAATGCTAAAGATGCCCCAGAAGCCCATGCTGCCGAGCCACCCGTGCCGAAGGATGATGTCAAGTTGACAGCTGCAGCTCTGCAGGATGCCAGGTCCAACTTTGCCGAGCACCACGGCCTCGCGATTGAGGCGGTTACGGATGAAATGATCCAGACTTCTGAGTTGGGCCCAGTCCACTGGGCCACGCAGAAGACAAACCTGGGGGCCCGGGGACCGGCGAGCCAGGCGATGCAGAGAGCACTGAAGCATCGGCCGGACGTGAAAGAACTTTACCAGGTACTACTTGATTCGGAAAAAACAGCTTTTCGTGCTGCCTGGACATGCTCGAGAGATTTCGCCTTCACGTCCTCGAAAAGGACGACATCTAATGTTTTCCGAAAGAGGAAGGAAGACGTTGGGGTTTTCAAAACCCAACTCCAGTTGGAGGCCATCTTGGGAGGCAGCCACCAGCCGGAAGCTGTGATGCAGGCGAAGAACTACATGAGTATGTGTCTGCGAAACGATCTGAAGGCTGGGCTTCCACAAAGGGTTGGGTTTTCTTGCAAGCCACTTAGACAACTTATAATGCCTTTGCAATAATCCTGGCCCAAAACCCGACCTCCTAAAGAACCTAAACCCTGAAACCTAGACCCCTTCAGCCCTAAATCTGCCTTTTCCCAAAACTTATGTGCCCTTATACAGCTTTAATTAAAAAAAACCCTTCAGCCCTAAACCTGCTGTGCTCCCAGAACCTAAACCTTAAAAAGCTTGGACCCCCTTCAGCCCCAAAATCCAATACAACACACTCCGCTGCAGGAGTATTGCTACATGTTCAACGACTGGCTGAAAGCCCCCACCTACCTCTGGGTGGAGTCCCTGGTGTCTTCGATGTCGGAGACCACCTGGAAAAATGAAGTCACTGTGGAGGTGCAGGACGAGCCGATCGTTGGATCTTGGGCTTACAAGGCCCAATTCTGCAAAGCTGCGAGATGCTATGCGGTCGAGAAGGGCCTGTATGCCAAGGATGTAACAAGAGAAATGATCGAGGCGACCGACCTGGGGGTTCGGGGATATGCTGAACTCTACGCTTCGACGCCGGCCGCCTTGCCGCAGCCGGGCGGAGATGGATCCGCCAGCAAGACCGCCCCGAAGCCAGGAGGACCGATTCCGACGCCATCGCCGGCACCGGCACCTAAAGCAAAGGGCAAACCGGGCAAGACGGAGAAGGCTACTTTGGAGGCTATGGTCGGCCAAGGCAAGGTTGAGGGTAATGATGAAACCGGTCAGCCGGAGACTAAGAAGCCTAGGAAGGGTGGTGCTGGTGGCAATGTCACTAGCAAGAAAGAACGGGAACTCAAAGAGTTCTTGGCCTTGGAAGCTCAGAGTGACAATTGTATGACGGCGATTGCAGCTGATATGAGTGCCAACCCGGCTGCCTGGAGCTGGGCAAAGGACTTTGTACAGCAGTATAAGTCCCTTAGGACAGAGATCGTGCAGTTGTATGCAGACACTGAGTTCTTCAAGGAAGCCAAGGTAGCTGCCCTATCCGCTAAAGAAACCAGCCGGCTACGCAAATCTTACGGCATTGATTATCATTCGAAGTTGTGCGAGTGGTGCTTGCAACTCGGGCCTAAAATTACGGCCATGAGTGAATGCACTACCAAGATTCGACAGATGGCCGATGCTCAAGCTACCGCTGTGGCTGGAACCCCTTCCAAACCTTCAAAGGCCTCGACTCGGAAACCGAAGCGGCTGGCCTCGCAAGCATCGCTATCCGCATAGGAGGATCGACGTCCTCGTTCGTGGGTTTTGTGCAGTGCTGCAGGAAGGGTCCTTGAAGTGTAGCCGTGTAGCCAGCCCTTCATGCATCGATCTTGGTATGTACAAATAGACTGCAGTACTTATAGATCCGAATCCTAGAAAGGTTCGTTACTTAGAGATTAGAAGCCCTTCAATTTGATCATACACCCGATAAAACCCTAAAGCCCTAAACCCCCAAACCCCCAAACCCTAAACCTTAAATCCCCGACGAGCTTGAAATCCAGGTTTGGTGCAGCTAGAACTCCTGTCCCAGATCCCGGGAACCTTCCTGATTGCACTGCTTTGTCTATGGGGAATGTGCTCAGGGCACTTGGAGTAGTGTGGCTGAGTGTGAACCGGTAGTGTCGCCGATTGATGCTGGCAGGCCTCTGTAGGAAGTCTTCTAGCCGTATCGCAAACCTGAGAGTCTAAGCCCCAGACGCCTACCCGTCCGGTACTTTACTCGAGACCTTGAGCCCAACCCTGCGAAACCCCAAACCCTAAAGTCTAAAGTGCTATAGCTTGGCCTCAGCAGCCTGAACAATCGGTTGCATTGCCCTCGATCTTTAGCAGCTGGTGCCAGTGCAGTGTAGGTTCGAAGCTTGTCGGTGCGGGAAGACCCGGAAATTCTCACGCACACAGCAACGTTTTAGCTTAGATTGCTCATGTCCCAGAACCCTATCACCTTAAGCCTGTGTGCTGTGACCACCTTTTCATCCCTAGTCTCTGCAGTCTCATCACGACAAGTTTAGACAACTGCCGACGTGTGCCAGCTTGTCCGTTGCGAAGCTAGTTACCGTGCAGCAGCATGTTCCGATGTGTCCGATGAAAACAACTTCCGACTTCTGAAGTTGCATGCTCTGTAGATAGAGTGTATTGGAAGCCTAGACCACAAAGTTCGAAGCTGCAACAAAGAACCCGAGTCCCAACCCCTAAACTCAAACCCCAAGCCCAAAGCCTGAAGCTTAACCTAGTGTCTACCCGGACCCCTATCATAAACCCCAGGCCCAAACCTCAGGCCCCAGGACCGATTGAGAAGCGAGAGCCTGAAGCTAGATCTCTTTGTTTGCAAGCCCCGAACCTCAACACCGAAATCGCATCATTATACTGTTCAGTGCTGTGCGACCTGTGCTTCCAGAGCCAGCTGCAATAAGCAGACTTCGCAGTATCGGCAGAGCCTCGTTTGCATGATGTCCGATGACTTGCTTGCATGGGCAAAGACTTGTAGGCCCAAAGCCGACACAAATATTAAAAGGCACAGGTTCAGGCCGTCCAAACTCAGCCAAAACAAACCCTAGGCAACAGCCCCGGACCTCAACTCCTTCTCCCAACCTTCGTGAAAGTAGCCACCTAGCTATGCATGAGTTTCAAAAGAGCTCGCACGCTCGAGCAGATTGGTGGTGCCTTCACTGTAGATGCCGAGCAGGAGCCAGAAGATGCTGGGTATCGTGAGGCGGCTGGGAAACGGTTTAAACAATATCTCCTAGAGAGGTACAGTACAGGAAAAACTACCGCTGCCGATACCTGCATTTTGGCCTATCTTCACAATGAGTCTGGAGGCAAAGGCACAGAGGACATTGGCTTGCCACCAGAGAAGGCATCGCGACACGCCACCGAGCATCTTCGGCTCCCAGGTCTTGGATTGGCAGTTTTTTTGTTCGTCGATTCGTACATTGAGGCCTTAAGGACTCAAGGGGATCTAGGGTTTTAGGGTTCACGGGTTTAGGGTTTGATGTTTTGGGTCCGGTGTTCTTGCTGAATCTAGCTAAGTTGCCACCTGGCGAAGCAGTTCGAAGAACCCTACGTCGAGTATGTAGCTGTGCCCATGAATTGCAAAAAATCTATTGGGCGAATATCCGTGCAACATCCTACCAGAGTTACCTCAGACATTCTTCGACGGGAGCTGCAAAAGTTGGGCCTCTTAGGAGACGGTCCGCCAAAAGACCCGGACTGTGTTGCAAAACTTCTGGATGCCGACAAAGAGTACTTGAGTCTTTATGATCAACATCCAGTCGTGCTTGATGCTCTCGAGGCTGGCTTGCCGAAGGAACGTATCATCCCTGTTGCTGTTTACTTTGACGGAGTACAGTACACTAAGAATGAGAACTTCCTTGGTTTTTACGTTACAAATCTTCGGACAAAGCGCCAACAGCTCGTCTGGCTGCTCAGTGCCTTTGGCTTGTTTATAGGGTCTGGGGCATTAGGGTTTGTAGGGTTTCCGAATTAGCAAAGCCGCCATCCGATCTTGAGTCGAAATAGGAAACCTTTTCCTAATTATTGTTTGACAGGAAGAACTATAATCAGATAGCAAACCCATCAACCCTCGGTTTCCCCAAACCTTATTTTTAAAACCAGCAGCCTAAACTTCATATTCTGTTTATGGTCAGGACTCTCAGAGCTTTGCTCATGTGGGTGCCGGGGGTGGTGCTCCGTGTTTCCTTTGCTGGACCACTTTCGGCGAGATATGTGTGCCCCTCACAAGGACCTCCGTTCTTGCATCATCGACTATAAAGCAGATTGGCCTGCCTACATCGAACTGTGCGGATTCCGCACATGGTCGCACAACAAGCACCCGTGTCCACTTTGCACCGTGAACCAAACGAATATGCGGGCTCTCGGGACGATGACTCTTCACAGCTGCCCGCACAGTCTTTTCGACCAGACGGCCTACGAGGAGCTCCTCGCTGCGACCTTTCGAGACACTCACATCCAATATTCCATGTCCACAAAGCTTTCGTTTTTGTGGTCTGATAAAGCCCACCATATTTCGTACACAACAGACGATCTTCAATATCGCGAAAGCGAATATTAAGCACATGTAAAGCAAGCAAGGAGATCTTCGTGCCGGACGAGGACACGAAACTGCGGATCAACGCACAACTTCGCTACCGGAGGCCTGGTCGAGGCAGATGCTTGAAGCAGAACATTCCTCTTCTGGGTCTCCGAAAGGGCTGGCGGCTTGAGCCGAGCTCTTCCTTGCCAGATGTCGACGACTTCGCGAAGCAACGCTGCCCGTTCTCTTGTGTTTTCTACACTGGAGGGAAAGATGGGAGAGTTCTTCATTTGTCGCCTTTCCTGCAGATCCCTGGGGTCACGATGAACACCTGGTGTGTGGATGTTTTGCACACATGGCATTACGGACCTATGTCCACATTCATCGCACATTCCTTGAGGCATCTGCTCCGATCGCCAGTCTACCGGCCGTCGGCATCTGACCTGGACAAGGAAGAGGCCGACAAACTCGCTTTGTTGACTCTTCGTGCTGAGCTGTGGAGCTACTACAAACGTCGCCGGGAAAATGACGAAGACGGCATGTGGCGGAAGAAAGGCACAGAGGCTCGGTCCATGCAAAATCCACCATAATTAATGAACCCTTGCCCGATCGAACTCCTTTGAAGATCCAAACAAGCCTAATTTCTTTCGCAGTGATGAATCAATCCCAGTCAGGTCTGGAACTTGTCCTTGACCATGCTGGCAGGCAAATATCTCAAAGCCAAGGCTGCTGAGACTCACGGGTTGTTGGGTTTCGTGGTCGACAGGCTTGAGAAGCACGCACATGTTCTATTGTCTGCAGAGCATGCCAACACGTGCGACTTCCTTTTGCGAGCGGGAAGAGCAGCAATGGACTTCGATGCTGTGATGGCCAATGGCCCGAGGGCGATCGATGAAAGGTTTTGCGGCATGCTTTTCGATCACTATAACCGGTTCATCTGCTTGTGTGAGAGAGCCGGGGTCGCTCTCTTGCCAAAGTGTCACATGATGTATCACATGATTCAACGGGCGGTCCAGAAGGGAAATCCAAGGATGTATTCCACATACATCGACGAATCCTTGAACGGGCTCATCGCCCAGATCTGCAGGTCGGTGCATCGACGTGGCTGGGCTCTGGAAGTGTACAGAAAACTTGCGATGATGGAATGCTTCCAGCAGGAGGCCAACGACCGGTGAGCACCAGGCATTGTCCCCAAACTTGATCTTAGGAACACCCTTCCAGGGTTTTGGCTCCCACCGCTTTTGCTGACACTTGATCTTCCAAGTTTCGTTACAACCAGGCCTGTTTTTTCAGGCTGCTAGACTTTCAAAGTAATCGCAACTCGCAGGCATTGAGCTGGCTTCCTTCGCGACTTTGATGCTTGTGCCGAGGGCTGAACGACCGAGGACACTTGCTTGAACCAAAGCCATATGCCCGCTTTAGGATTCAACTTTAAGAGCAGGCAACATGGACGAAACCAGTCTTTCGGCAACATGAGCTAAGCTCCTAGAGTCCTGGCCCTTATACATATGTATGTATATAAGGCGCTGCTTTCGCTTCCGAGGAGGCCGAACGAGTTTCTGCAGTCGAGCCGCTCCACATATGGTATGGTCTTTGTGCAGACGAGCTTCTTTGCTTCATCTGGTTCTGTCTTTTTCCTAAGTTATAACGTAGTCAAGGTAGTAGGGTTTAGGGTCGGGGTTTTTAGGGTGTAGGGTTTAAGAAGCCCTAAGATCCGAAACCCCACTGCGACGAACGAGGCTATGCTACAACATATGGTGGTCGGCTGGCTAGCAACATGACGACACCCGGCTTCTTTCCGAAACCTTTTGCCGACTTTAGATTAGGCATATGGTTGTGTTTAGCTTTCGGGTTTTCGCTTTCCTGCAAGCCAGAGAAGCATCTCAGGACATCTACGCTCCAGACAGTGACTTCCGAACGAGAGTTGTGTGCAGTGCAGGCTGCGAGTCTTCGAACCCTAAGCCCCCAAGCCATAATTCTTATGTGGTCGGCTTTTCTGCAACTATATAGAGATAGTAAGCACCAAACCCTTTTCGAGGCTCGAAAGCCTGAGTAGTTGTGCCAAGCAGCACTTCTCGATCGTCCGATCGCCGGAAAGATCCAGCGGGAGGGTTGGGGCTTAGGTGTTTATAGGTGGTAGGGTTTAAAGGTGGCTTTGGGAGCTTCGAAGCTTTTGAGAAGGCGGCAGGTTTGCTGTTTAGGGTTCTGAACCCCAAACTCCTTCAACTTTACTCCCTAAACCTTAAGGTTGATTGAAGGGTGGGCTTCTTTGTGGCTGCCAGCCTCCGAACCTCCCGCCTGAAACCGTCAACCTTCTAAGAGCCTTTAGCTTGAAGCTTCCTGCAAACTTTGGCATCCCGCAGCCCCGCAATAGTTTTCAAATGCACCATTAACGCAAAACTCCAACATCTTCGTATACGTCACCCGACCAAGGCCCAAAACACTTCAAATCCCAACACCGAAACCTGAGAGGAGAGAATGCTACAGAAAATCCTACGCCCCAAACCCTAAAACCCTAACACCTCAAGCTCTAAAGCCCTGGGAGCTCTAAAGCCCTAAAACCCTAAAGCCTTAATGCCCTATGTACCCTAAACCTAAGGCTAAGCGGCTCAAACGGCTCAAGCGGCTCAAGTGGCTCAAGAATCATGAGCATCAGAATATAAAATAGATGTATATATAGATATATGTATACGCATGCTCAATTATTCCTGTTCTGTGACACAAAGTTTCACAAGATCATCGAGGAGACTGAGTTGCCGCCAAATCAATATACCGAATGCTTTCTTCTGTTGCCCAGTGGCATACAAAACCTTCAAAGCCCGCTGAATGTGGATGATGCGGCTCGTTTGGTGGACTTAGCATGTTTTTGCTCAAGATGTAGGTTTCTCTGTTTCACCCCAAAATGGTAGCGGATCCACAAAAAACATCACGTATCCATGTTGGACACCCCAAATGCGGATCTACTTTTTGGATCCGTCCGGGGGTCTGGGTATAGGATGATCACGCACCAAATTGCGCAAGAAGACCCAAGTGGACTCCTCGGTCAAGCTGAGATTGCAGACCTGCGCCAACGGATGATGGCGGTTGTGCTGGTGATCAATGGGCATGACAGGCACACCCGCTTCACGAAAGCAGCGAGAAAGCATGGCGGTGCCGGCACATAGCTCAAGAAAAAGTGGTTCTTTGGGAACCACCGCCTCGGTAAAAGCCTTGGTTGCTGAAGCACTCGACAGCAGAGGGAAACGCGGCGGCCACGGCAGGCGAGCAGGCAGCTGTGGGTGCTCACGGAAGTGCTCGACCTCTGGCTCGGTTGGCAAGGCAAAATCAAGTGAAATCAAGCGTTGCGAGGCCTCGAGAGACAGCTTATCAAAGGCCGAAATAGAGAAAGCAACCAAAATGACCCTCCTGCCCTGCCACGAATCAGTGAGGTGCATCTGCCTGCGTGCATCAAACAGGACAGGGCCATCCGACACAGGCAATGCCACCCCGTGAAGGGTTGCACCATCAACAGTCCGAGTGTGGGGACCCTTGCTGGATTGCACCCAAATTGAACCCTTAGTAAAACGGGACAAGGGAATGGCCAAATTAGGCAAGAAGGAATTCTGCTGATCGCGATGCGGGGCCGTGCGAACACCATCAAAAAGCACGACGGTTGTGAACTTGTGGGCAGGAGCAGACTGCCTTACAAAAGCAGCCAGCACCTGCGTGGACTTTGGAAAAACAGCGACATTGCTCCGGAGTCCCACCTTGACCTTGGCAAAGGCCCCAGTGGTAAATGAAATGCCGCCACCGGAGCCGCGTTGCGGCGCAGCTTTCGGGAGGCAATCGAAAAGCTTCAGAACATTAGCCTGTTCAATCCACTTCCCAATCAGACTTGAAGCGAATTCTTCAGCGGAAGGCAACCCATTTGGACCTGCATGCAAAACTTCCCCTTCAGGGACACTGCATTCAGAAGAAGAGCGCACGAGAGGCTCACCGCTCGGCGCAGCATCTTTCTCGTCAGTCGTTTGGTCTATGGATTGCACACCTAGTCACTCCTTCTTGCGTTTGGGACACGCCGTGTATCCATGATCTCTCTTGAAACATCCTTTGATGCAGCAGACATGGAGTCCTCGCTCGCACTTCCCATTGGATACAGCTCTCTGGCAACGGCCTAAGTTAAAGTCGAAACAGATTGGCAATCCGCGAGTCGTGGATGGAACTCCGTCTGCAAGCTCAGCGGGCATACGGACATTGTTCTTGCTCTTTCCTTTACCCTTGCCTTTCCCCTTGCCCTTCCAGGGCCTTCGGTCATCGTACGGACCAGGCCTGAAAGGAGCCGGAGGGGCTGCAACCAAAGGCTGCAAAAGGTGTGTGACATTATTGCAATTCATTGCCTCGTTCCAAATCTTATCAACTGGCTTGCCGTCAGAAACAAGTTGGATTCCATGCCGAGTGCGATCTGCTGCTTCAACAAACAGCTGCCGATCAGCCTGCATAAGCTGCTGCAGCGTCACACGTGCATAGTTGTCAGGTGGATCCCTGAAACGCGCGGTAAAAAGTGCTTCCACCCACCGCTCGTGCTCCGAAAAGGTGACTATCCCTGCCTGGTCTAGGGCCAAACCTCGACGGGTCATTGCCAGCTTGAGGAGAAGGTCTGAAGACACATCAGCATCAACCTTTGCAACCTGGGTGCGTAGAGACACATGACCGGCACCATCAACGGACAACATCTTATCATCGCGATCCTTCTTGAACTTGACCTCATCATCACGGCAAGGGCACGACTGAGGCGGCAAGTAATGAAGCACGTTATCCTCATACATCTGAACGCACTTATCGATCACGGCATGTCCCGGAAGAGTCGGGCCGTGGATCGTCAAACCACTCAGCCGAACCTGCTGTCGCTGCAACCTGTCGGCCCGGTCGGGCGCTGCGAGCTTTCTCGGAGCAGAGTCATCGGTCCTTTCAACCTGTGATTGTAATTCAGACACAGTTAGGTTGTAGCTCTCGTGCAGCAAGCGGCGAAGCACACTGAGCTCCGCAATCGAAGGGTCACGCCCAAGCACTTTGACGATGGCAGCAGTGAATGGGCTCTCATCCGTGCTCCCGGGCACGTATGAGCTCAGGAAAGCATACTTGCTCATACAATCAATGCCAGCGTCAACGAACTTCACCAGCACTGGATCCTCCAATCCAAGAGCCTTCGCCCTCGAAGAGAAGTTTGCCTTGCTCTCTGTGACGGCCATGGCACAAAAGACCTGTCAAGGCACTATGGGGTCTCCAGCCAAAGTGCGCACTCACCGCAAACGACAATGCACTTGCAAACCGCTGACTGTCGGACACAAGTTCAGCACGATCACACATACTTGACGGCGCCCGGCAAGTATTTCACACGACACTCGTGTTCAGCATGTTCGAAAAACTCGCATGACACCAGAAAAGTAAGTCGGTGCCACATCAAAACCAGGCCAGTGCCCGAAATTCGTACATGTGCCACCGCGTGGACCGATGGCATCACGCACTCACGCACATCGTGAAACCCGCAAGGGTCTGACAAGTGAGCCGAGTGGGTCCAGCTCATCCAATTCCAAGCCGCGCAGTCCGGCAAACCACAAGTGCGCAAGCACATCAAACCATCACCGAGTGAGTCCGGCGAGCGCCGCGTGTACCGGCTTCCACAAGTGCGCAAATCACTTGAAACAGTTTCGGCACATATCTGCCATAAACCTAGGCCTCTCAGCAAGACGCTCGAACTTCTTTGAGCACCTCTTCCCACAGCGAAGTCGGTTCCCGCCCTCATCAGCGAGACGGTGAAGCTTGCGGGAAGTGATGTGCCTGATGTACACATGGGCATCAGGGTCTCCCACAGCTAACTCGGCCCAAGGCGGTATGATCTCATCAGCCGCAGCCTCTTCAGCACGAAGGTCCTGAACGTTGTCCTCTTCGTCCAGTGACGCCTCCGAGGCCGACGGTTCATCATTGAACTCCGGACCTGGTTCGCGCTCTGGATCAGTTGGGAAATAGCCCGAACGTGTGGTGTCCGGGAGGAACTTGCCGATCCTTATATCGGCGAGCACGTACTCAAGAGACCTCAGAGCAGGCGCAACATTGTCACGCCCATAGATGTGCATCATCTCATCCTGCGGAGCCTTGTGATATCCCAAAATCCTCCGGTGCAGCGCGTCAACACCGTACTTTGACATCCAAGACAAGGTCGTAGCCTTACAGCTGTGAGTACCAAGCTTTGAAGCTTCAGGGAAACCTCTGGCAGACAAAATCCCGCGCAACCAACCAGCTGCTACAGTGGCCGTGGGCGGAACACCCGACCGTCCGCCCTCCTGACCACGGCTGGGCAGGAGAGGAAAATCTTCTCCCTCGGGAATGGCGAGGTCCTCACGAAGGCTCATCCACGTCCTGAACCAAGGAACGGACGCCACCCCGCACAATGGCCCCACCATAGGAAGCAATGCTGTTTTCCTCTCCAAGGAGAAACTGGTCTTCGTCCTTGAAGTCTCACCTTGGAAGTACCCTGCAAGTGGTCCCATGAAAGAGTCCGGCTCATCCAAAACCAGATTCATCAGGGCCTGGCCATCACTGTATCTAGCACGAAGATAAATGCAGAGTAAGAAAAAGCCTGCACACAGCCTGTCAACATCATTATCTGACTCATCCACAACAAGGCGCTCCAATCTCTTGACCATAGCAACGGTGAGTGGCGGCTTCTGTCGCCTCTTCCTCTTTTTAAGAAAAGAGGCACGCGCAAGCCCTGTAAGGCGGCCACTGCAAAGGGAGTCAGAGAAAGACTCAGCACCCAAAACGAACTTGCAAAACGCCAACGAGGACATGAGTGCCTTGCCGAAAGACGGCGCGCTGGAATCCTCCAAATCAAGCAGGAACTCATACACATCTTTCTCTCTCAGTGGCAGCGGCTGGAGACGCCGCTTCTTGGCCCACGCCACAAAACGGAGCAACGGTCCCGCACGATTGTGCAGTGTACCCGCAGCTTTGCCCGAAAAGGTGTGCAGCAAACCTTGCGAGACTGCGGAATCCTGGCAGGACGCGGCAGCACACCTGCGGCCAACATCAAAGGTGAGTGGATCCTCAAGGACGATAGACACCCACTTCTGAATGGCAGCACGCAGCTTCTTGTCAAGGTGCACACTCCAAGAATCCTGCAGCCTGACCCTGCCCAGGGCAAGCTTGACAACAGAAGCAACGGTAACCTGGGAAGACACCATCTTGGGCACTGGCACAGACATGACAGGCGGCATGGGCCCGCTGGCACGTGCCATACCGGCAAACAAGTTGGCAGAAGGCTTAAGTTTAAAATCCCAGGATCGGACAAACCCAGTCTTATTGAACTTGCGCATGCAAGACGCCAAATGTGCCTCGTACGACCCAAAGGCCATGGCGGCATCCCTCCGGCGACTGTCACCTGCCTCAGAAACCCCACCTTCAGAAGATGCAGGTGGCATGGAGCTGGAAGGCATGAAAGCTGAAAGCTTAATCCGCAATGGAAGCGGTGAGCCTTATAAACCAGCAACGCACTGCCGGAGCTCAGGCTGAGCAGTGATAAGAGCCGGCCCCCCTTTTGCAGCTCGAGTCCATCCGCTGGTCACACGAGACCAGCTTGCACACCCTCTAAGAGGGAACGTCAGAAAAGGGGGCCCGGTTAAAAGCAGGAGCAGTTAGGGCCTCACGCCCAAGTTTTACAGAAAATTCTTTCACAACTCAGCTCGAGCACTGAGCTGCTGCATACCAAGGTTGTGTCATCAAGACCAAACGAGGCGATGCGCTGAAGTCAATGCAAAAATTGTCACGTGCAAAAACAAGCCATGCCAAGTTTTTGAAACCAAGTTTGAAAATGCTCGCTTCAAGCTCGCGGTCCTTTTATGAAAAAGGGATCGCAGATGGCGCAGGCTTGTCTGCTGAGACCCTGTACGCGCAGCATGTGGCCAAGTGCGAGGCCTGGCTAGATCAGGTGCAGCGGACTGCCGCGGACTGTGTGGCCACAGTGGAGCAGGTGAAGGGCGGCTTGGATAAGAGGGAAGCTCGATTGGGGACGTTGGAGAGACGTTGTCGCGAGATGATGGAGGAGCAGGCCTTTCGCAAGGAGAACTCGCTTCCGGTCACTTTCGCACGAAGATCTGGCGAGACTCAGTCTCAGGGTAATCCTGTGGGTTCCAGAGCATCTTCACCTGCGGGCTCTGCGGGAGGACGGGCATCGAGTCGTTGTCCTTCGGAGTCTGAAATTCAGACACGGATGGCAGGTGTTAACGAGCGGCTTCGAGCACACAAAGCCAATGAAGAGGGGCGTGGTAGGCAAGCGGTTCGGCTGGTGGCTCAGGCACAGAGGACGGCGCTGAAGGCACGCAGCTGTTCCGTGGAGCCCGCGTTTTTCCTGCGCGTGGAGGCTGCTCGCGCGGAAGCGGCTAAGCGAAATCAGTCAAAGAGTGGCGCGGGCATGGGCTCGTGAATGCACGGCAGTGCTCCTATCCCAAATGCGGAGCGAAACCGCATGGACGCTGTCTTGCGAAAGTGCGATGATGCGTGCACCAGTTGCGCTTCGGTCGAAACGAACGAGCAGCGACAATGACATTTGTTGTCACAGCGTCTACCATGCTAAATCGCATAGCAAGTCGACAGCTGTCACTCACCATACTGAACTTGCGTTGTGTTTCGCAAAGGCGGCGGATGGAGCACAGAGAAGAGGCCATCGGTGGCGGCTGTGCTGCTTGTGTAAGGACTACTTGCATTTTCCTTCTTGTCCCTGCAGCATCGGGCTCTCGTTCGGCTTGTGTAAGGGCTACTTGCATTTTCCTTCTTGTCCCTGCACAGCATCGGGCTCTCGTTCGTTGCCAGTCCCCCGCCAGCAATGCTTTCTGGAGCCGAGTCGAGTTCTTTGGTCGGCGAGGAGCGTGAACTGCGACAAGTGAATCGGTGGGCGTCCACTGTGTGCGAGGTGCGGCTTCTTTCCAGTGCACTGGTCTTGTTTGAAATGGAGCAAGGCGAAGGCGGCGCCAGCAGAAGGCTTTTGTGCGCCGTGAAGAACGTCCACTGGAACGCTCTTTTGGAACAGTACGTGGTAGCATATGTTCTCGCTGTCCAACCCTGTCAGGACGTGTCTGATATGCTTGTTGATGGCGAAGACCAAGACTCTGCGACTCCGCGGATTTGGCTTGTCTGCCGAACCGCGCCGACGCCGTCTTGCGAAAATGTGGGGAGGCAGTCAGTTGCTCGATGCATGCATCTGGGCGAACCTGCTGCGGATATCTGTTGGAAGTACATGCGCCGGGATACTTGGGCTCCGACTGTGTGCAAGTGGCACGAGTTTCTGGTCGCCAAGACCCAGTTGTATGCTCCGTCGCCCCAGATGTCATTGGAGATGCTCGACGAAGCCATGAAGTACGTAGAAATTCGGCCTGGGCAGAGGGGCTTTTTAAACAAACCTGCCTACAGCTCAGACGTGCGCGCCTACACGCGCAAGACGGCCAGAGCCGATGCAGTCACGCGAGAAGAGCACGAAGCCGCTGGGAATGCTTGTGGCCAGCAGCTCTGCGGCAAGAGGCGGAGAAACCTGCCTTCTTTTCAGCACAAGCCCTTGACCGTCGCTGTGCTGGTTATCAAAGTGTTAGAGAATCGGGTGTAGACCGCTTTATTTGTTGTCCTGCAGATCAATTCGTTTGCGTTGGCCTGTTTGACGCGAGGTCTTGCTCCAGAACCTGCACGTCCTCTTGCCGTTGAAGCGTTGCCGACTGGAGGAGGCAACTTGGGAGGGCACCATGAAGTTTGCAGCGCACCGCCTGGTCGTGAGCCTGGCTCCATGCATCCCTGAGGAATGCTTCGACGTGACAGACGAGGAAAGCTACGGGTTTGTGGCGGACGAGCTGCACAACGTGGTTCATGGCCTTCTCGCTTGGCTGACGCCCCGAGCAGGTCCTTTCGATACATTGTCTTATGACAAGAGAGGGTTGCATTGGAGCGTTTCCTGGAACTGGCGAGGTTTTAGTATGTCGGAGTCAGAAATGAAGGCTGCCACGGTGCAAGCCGTGTCGATGACTTTCGTGCACATGCGCTATTTGACAGCGTACGTGCGCTTCCTGAAAGCGCAACAGTTGGTGGCGAAGGATGAAGCTGCTGTTGTAGCTGCTGTGCAGACTTAGAATAGCCTTGCAACCGCATGGATGCTGTCTTGCGAAAGTGCGGCGCAGCAGTAATCCCTCGCGGGCCTGGCTGTGTTTCTGCCCAAAAAGCTGTTCGGTGTCCCTCGTGCTGTGCGTTGCCGTTCACAGCTTCCACATGCGGTTGCAAGGCTAGGGTTCACGATGTCCGTTCGGAGGCGACGCTGCATTTGGCTCGTGTTCAATTTAGCTACTGTCCTTGGAACGCGCTGCTTAGCTTGGGCTCGATTTCTGTGGTCCTGCTAGTCTCCGCAGTGCTGCCGTGTGGACGCTGTCTTGCGAAATTCGGTGTGCCTGCGTGTCCGTCAGGACTGACGGATATCCCGAAGGATGGACTCGGGGGTTCAGCCGCTCGCATCACTGGAAAGATGGATCAGATACACGCAGGTCGAGCTCATCGCCGTTCGTTCGGACTTGATGCAACAGCGAGTCGAAGAAGCCTCTGTTCGACAGATTCAGCAACAACTATTGGATGGCTTACAACGACAAGTTCGAGAGCAGGAACAAGAACTGAGCGAAATTCGCGAGTCCGTGGCCCAACAGTCTAGGAGCATCAAAATTCTAGAGAATGCAGTCACGAATTTCATCCAAGATGTTCGCGACAAGTTGTCCACTCTTCCTCGATACTCTCACCCTGCCCAATAGAACGCAGTTGCGAGTCTGCCCCGCTGTTGTCGCGACATCTTGAACGCCGCGGCCGCCATCATCATCGTCGCAGCAGCAGTCCCTCACGAGGCTGGCTGGCCGTGCTTCTGCTCGAAAAAAAAAACGCCGTTCGGTGCCTCCTGTGCTGAACGTTCTGCTTTTCAGCTCCACTCGATGTTGCACCATCAGGTTCACGATGTCCACTCTGAGGGCTAGCTGTTGTTAGGCAGCGTTGAATTCTGTTGCCCTTCTTCGAATGCTTTTTCTTCGCGCTAACTGGCTCGTGCTTGAGTTCTGTGGTTCTGCTATACGGTGCACAGGCAAGTGGACGCTGTCTTGCGAAAGCTTGGCGTGCCGGTGACAGCTGTAAGACACCCCGAAGCATGGACTTAGCGGCGGCGGCGCGGCCGCTTGCAAAGACGGATCGGATGCACGCATGGCGAGCTCATCGCAGTTCGGTCCGACTTGATGCAACAAGGAGTCGAAAAGGCCTCTCCGAGCGAGAGGGTGTTCGGCTGAGATGAGACGTGTGGACGATCTGCCCGTCTGTGCATTTTGGCTCGAGCTTCAGCTAGAGCCGAACCTGGCAAGCTGGTACTTTGTTTCCCGGAGAGTGACTCCTAGGGATGGATGTTGCTACCCGTGTCGGTCGCATCACTTATACCGAATCTCGGGTGTTGCATGCCGAGAACATGTCGGCTTTTGTCAGGTACATGGGCGAGTTCACTAGGAACAACGATGCTGAGGCATTCTGGCATGTCTGGAAGCAGGTCTGTGAGGTGGTGCACTACCCTCCTCCCCTGGACGTCGTGCCTAGTCTCAGGATCGAGGGCCGGTTCGTGCCTCTCCGCCGGATCGCGTGCGTCGCGTCTCCTTGCCCAAGGTGTGAACAGGCCAGAGGAGGCTTCCAGTTTCCTTGGCTGGGGCCATGGGCTGTCAGGGCCACTGTGGTGCCCGACGGGTGGCATCCCGATGACGCTCGCATCAGGTTCTACGAGTGTGATGCTATGTTCGATGAGGAGGAGCTTGCTCGGCACAGCTCGCCCCTCACTGTGCCAGATATGCTCAGTGTCACCATGGCAAGGGTTCTTTACATGGCAGAAATCAACAGTCTGCATGACCTGCCGGGAGCTTCCTTGGCCTCAGTTTTGGCTGCATGGAGGCAGTGGCAGCAAGGTGAGCGGAGGTGGCGGGACCCGTCCCCTGGAACGGGAGCGGTGCCCACTGCCTTGGAGGCTTTTGCGGACCCCATGGTTCGTCACCGCCGCGCCCTTATCTTCTGGCTTTTCCACGCCGGCAACCCTGAACACGACCCCGGCAGCCTTCGGGCTATGTGCCTGCACTGCGGTAACCCACTGCCTAGGCGGACTCAGTGGAGGACTGCCGAGTGTAGACAGTGTCGCCGCCTCTTGGCAAGGATTCGTGGCGCAGCCGCGGCGGATGCAGGCGCAGGGTCTTCGTCTTCCAGCTGAAGATCACTTTGCTGGGGGGCCGGTGGCCCGGCGTGTGAGGCTGGTTCGATCGTCATTCAAGGCACGCCGGGAGCGGTTGACGCTGTCTTGCGAAAGCTGCATTCCGCCAGTGGGTCGAGAAGAGACCTGCTGGCTTCTGTGTCCTTGGGGAACTCGTCATTCGCTTAATTCGGCGGTTGCCGGACATCAAGGCACGGCGGGAGCGGTCGACGCTGTCTTGCGAAAGCTGCATTCCGCCAGTGGAGTTCTGTTTCATGTCCGACGATAGATCGGATCACAGTCGTGTGGCAGGTCGAGACATGAGGCATGCGACAAAACCTAATCGACGTGGCTGCAGGCCCTCGTGATGAAGCCGTGCTTTGCAGCTCCGGGTGCAGGGTGGTAAGCATCTTGCGACTTTCGCTTGCAGTGTCTTCCTAAAAGCAAAGTGTGCCATCCGATGGTGTCAACATTCCGCAGCGCCATCTCTCGAGTTGACTTTCAGTCCTCCTGGCCATGGCAACGTTGCCGAGGACGTGCAATCCGGATGTGTGCACTCGTTACAATGCCTTGTCGCTGGCGCTGCGCGACCTGCCGGATCTCCCGGCATTGCAAATATGGAATCTCGCGATTGCCGCGGTCGCACCTGAAGCAGGCGATCTTCTGCTGAAGCGGGTGCCAGACCCGGAAGAATTGGAGAGAGTGGTGGAGAGCACACCTGCCGATCGAGGGTGGGTCTTCGCGCGATTGTGCATCCTGCGCATGTCCTTTCGTCCTAATGACGATGATCCTGCGCCGCCTGGAGCATTGAAGGGACGTCAAGGGCTTCTGCTGGAGGCGTTTGCAGCTGTGACACGACTCTTGGAGGCCCTCGATATCACGGTGCCGTTGCAGCGGACGTGCAATCCGGATGTAAGCACTCGGTGGACTGTTTTGTCACTGGCGCTTCGCGACCTGCCGGATCTCCCGGCATTGCAAATATGTAATCTCGCCATTGCTGCGGTCGCACCTGAAGCAGGTGATCTTCTGCTGCAGCGTGTGACAAACTTGGAAGAATTGCAGAGAGCGATGGACTCGGAAGAATTGCAGAGAGTGATGGAGAGCACACCGGCCGATCGAGGTTGGGTCTTCACGCAATTGACTCTCTTGCGCATGTGCTTTTGTCCTAATGACGATGATCCTGCGCCGCCTGCGGCATTGAAGGGACATCAAGGGCGTCTGCTGGAGGTGTTTGCAGCTGTGACACGGCTCTTGGAGGCCCTCCATGTCACGGTGCCGCATCGCGAGATTATCGAATTGCCCGACCCATCGGCTGAGGAACAACAGTCCGCGAGCTGATCCTTCCACTTGTCCAGGACTACCCGTTGTGAGTGGCCGGGCACGTTAGGCACGGTGTTGTAGGGAGGAATTCCTACTTCGGAACCAGTGCGGCGGGAGCGGTCGACGCTGTCTTGCGAAAGCTGCATTCCGCCAGTGGGTCGAGAAGAGACCTGCTGACTTCTGTGTCCTTGCGAACTTCTAATTCGCTTAATTCGGCGGTTGCCGGACATCAAGGCACGGCGGGAGCGGTCGACGCTGTCTTGCGAAAGCTGCATTCCGCCAGTGGAGTTCTGTTTCATGCCCGACGATAGATCGGATCAGAGTCGTGTGGCAGGTCGAGACATGTGGCATGCGACAAAACCTAATCGACGTAGCTGCAGGCCGTCGTGATGAAGCCGTGCTTTGCAGCTCCGGGTGCAGGGTATGCTTGGCATTCGATCGGCTGTTGTGTGGGGCTCGAGGAGTGTCCTGGACTCTGGACAGGTGCAGGCGTTGCCATGCTCGTGCCTGCATGCTGTCCCCCGCATCGAAGACGTCGGACTCTTCGAATGATGCGCTCTCGGAGACCTCAATATCCGAGAGTGGATAAACTGCACCCAAGCATTCTTAAGTCCTAAGAGCTACCGGCAAGACAGCGGCTGGACGGACTGGGACATAAATGAGATGCTCCGGCCTGCCTCGGACTCGGAGATTATCTGTCGGGTGCGGACTGGTCTTCAGCACGTGAATAATCCAGAGCTTCGGCGACGGCTGAACTTGGATGCCGTGGAGTGGGAAGCTTTCAACGATGCTGTTCGCGTTCAGAGAACCCTGGGTCTGAGCAAGGACTCCGCGGATCATTGGTACTGCTGTTCTTGGAAGGCTACCCACACGCCGGAGGACGAGATGGTCCTTGCCAACATTCTTTCGAATGGAACTGTACGATGTCTCGTGAGCAGGGGCTTTCTTTATGTGCAGAATCCAAGCGAACGCGAAAGGTTGGAGTTGGATGAGGTGGAAGATCTTGCACGGCAACGCGCCAAGCGCGTGCTCCGGAAGTGGGGTCATTTGCCATGGACTCGTGATTAATTCCTGGCGGAGCAGTCGACGCTGTCTTGCGAAAGCTGCATTGCGCCTGTGAAAAGTATCTAGTTTCTGCGCGAAGAAACCTCAGCAGTGGGCTTGGGAGGGGGGGGGGGTGCCTGGACCCATTGACGCAGCCGACGCTGTCTTGCGAAAGCTGCATTGTGCCTAGCCTCTGCACGCAGCAGTGATTGCTGTTTGTCACGCGCATCCTGCACAGCAGGACAGGGCTCTCTTGCGAGTCATGCACTGCTCTGCCATGTTCACGGAACCGAATGGATGCTGTCTTGCGAGAGAAAACAGACCATGTGAGCTCGAACTGGTGCTTGCTGCTGCATGTCTCTACCTCTCAGGCTGGAAGTGCTTCCTCTGGCTGCGTAGCTTGGGTTCAAATGTTTGCTGGCGCATGTCTCTACCTCTCAGGCTGGAAGTGCTTTCTCTGGCTGCGTAGCTTGGGTTCAAATTGCCTTTTGTTCTTAGTGTTTCGGCGGTGCTCTGGGTGAACGCTGTCTTGCGAAAGCTCAGTGTGCAGCTGGTGCTCTGGGTGAACGCTGTCTTGCGAAAGCTCAGTGTGCTGCCTGCCCGCCTTGCCGATGGCGCAGAACAACCTGTTAGACTGCACCTTGGAGCGCCTCACTAAGCAAAACCACGCGAGCATGAAGGTTTTGCTTCGCTACGTCTACTGTGAAGTCGAGCAACTGGCCACTGCCAAAGGAGGTACCTTCTACAAAACGATTTTGCGCTTCGTGGACAAAGAGGGCAAGGGTCTGTACGCGGAGCTTCGCGGGTCGGATATGGGCATTCTGAAGAAGGCGGCTGAACCCTGGAGCAGGGAGGTCTTTTATGCCACGCACCTCAAGCCGGTCAATAACAAATTCTTCGCTGGCCTCTTTGTGGATTTGTCAGACAGATCCTCGAAGGCCAAAGCGATTCCGGTTGCTTCTTCCCACCCGCAGGCAATGCAGATGAAGGATATCTTCCCCGTTGCGAGGTCGGACTTCTCGGTGTTGGCAGCACAGTGCCAAGGGCGCGAGCGTGTGGATGTCATTGGAGTGGTCACGGAGCTTGAGACGGCGACTACCACCCAGAAGCCCAAAGTAAATCTTTGGCTGAAGGACACCTCCGGCAAGGAGATGCTGGTCAACATCTGGGGCACCCGCTTGGTAAAGAGTCTGGCTTCCGCGCGGAAAGGTAGCGTCGTTCAGATCGACAACCTTGCTCTCTTGAAGAAGGAGAACAATTCCATCGAAGGCGCCGCGGAGCATTTTGTCGACAACGACAAGCATGGCTTTAGCATGCTACACGTGGACCCCCAAGGCAAGCGGGCACAGGAGCTTCGGGATCTGGGCACGGCACAAGGCGATCGCATCTCGGTTCCTTGGTGCCCTTCCTTGAGTGGTGGCGGCAGGCTGACCTCCGACTTGGCGCCCTGCTACGTCGCATGTGCCGCAACTATGAATGCATTCGGCAGCGCAATGGAGCAGGGAGCAACGCAGGACTGGCTTCGCGTGTTTCTGTTGTGTAGAAGGTGCTTTCCCGTGCCCCAACTTGCATGACCTTGCTTGGCGCAGGAGAAAGTCGAAGTGGCCCTGCACAACGTCTGGCTCGTCGACATCCTTGGGGATCCAGTGTATACTCCGTGCAAAGTGTGCTCCACGAAGATCGACCCAGTGACCGATAAGTGCAAGCGTGCCACCGATGGATGTCAGACGGAGCCCGCGGATGCCAAGCGAGTGCTGGCCACCGTGCACTTGGCGGATTGGACTGGCCAGCTCAGCAACGTTCTTGTGGGAGGACGGGAGCTGGCGCCCTTGGCCCGGGTCCGTGACGAAGAAAAGCTGGTCGAGCTGATCGAGAAGAAAGGCAGTGAGGCAGTCTGCTTCAGGGGGCCGTGCGACGCACGGCTGGGCACGTCGCACCGCCTCGGCCAAGTCCGGGGGGCCTCCGCGCCCCAAGCTTCGCAGGCGAGTGTGACCGGCGGACCTGCTCCCCCGACCCAGTTTCAGGTCTTGGCAGCTCGCCCCTGCTTCGGCGAGGACTACGACGAGGACCGGCGTCCGATGGTGAAAAAGGTCACCCGTCTTGCGAGCGAGAAGCGAGATGGTGCAGTGCTGCCAGTCCAGTGTCCGCTTGACGATTTGACGTGCTCAGACATGGGCACCTTCTTCGACATGGGCAATGTCTTCGCAAACTACGTGACCGTCGTGGCCGTCGCAAAGGACGAGCCCACCGTGGAGGAGGTGTACAAGGACGAGGAGAAGCATCTGGTGACGAAGCACGCAGAGGTCTACTCGTACGCGCTCGAGAAGGAGGGAAAGGCATTTGGGACCGAGGCTTTTTGTCAATTCACAAATTGCTACCTCTTCAACATGGCAGACGGCCAACCGCGCTTGATCTTGGGCCGTGTGATCAAGAATGCGGTAACCGACGCGGTGGTTTTGCAAGTGGAGTGGATGGCGAGAGTGACACCTGAGCAGATCGAGAAAATCTCCAAGGAGCGTGAGATGGTCTGGAACCTCCTCAAGGGCGGACCGGCGTTGCAAAGCAACAAACGACCTGCCTGCAGCCTCGTGCAGGAGACGCCCTCAAAAGTGAAGTGCGGCACTTGGGAGATGGAGTGAACCTCCTCGAAGCGAGGGTAGAGTCTTGCGAAGGTCCCCGCGCGGAGCAGTGGACGCTGTCTTGCGAAAGCTGCATTCGGCGAGTGGGCTGCATTGACTCAAACTCCTCGAAGCGAGGGTGGAGTTTTGCAAGGGTCCCTGCGCGGAGCAGTCGACGCTGTCTTGCGAAAGCTGCATTTCGCCAGTGGGCTGCTTTGACTGAACCTCCTCGAAGCTAGGGTGCAGTTTTGCAACGGTCCCTGCGCGGAGCGGTCGACGCTGTCTTGCGAAAGCTGCATTCCGCGAGTGGGCTGTATCTAGCCTCTGCACGTAGCAGTGATGTGGAAAAGCCGCTGAGTGAGTCTTAGATGCGCGATTCTCTTGGTCTTGACGCCACAAAAATGCTGTTTGTTCCATGGCGTCTTGTCAGGTAGGAGCGAGCTCAGGCAGCTTCATTGATAGCGACGGCGAGTCCTGGCTGTTCCTGCTCACATGTTACATTCTTGCACGCAGCTGCTCAGTTAGATTCCGTTCATCGTGTCTGTTTGGCGCCATGGATCTCCATCCTGGAACTGGAGATGCAACTACATCCACGGTGGAAGGTCCGGACCAAGCGCAACAGGATTCTCACGAGGATGGGGTTGGCGCGAACACCGGCGCGAATGCAAACGTGTACCCCACTCCAGTGAATTATGAGATCCTTGTGCATACATTTCAAGGTCAGCTGAACAACATGCTGCTGGATCAAGCGCGAATGAACGCGCAGCTAGCTGAGCTGATGCGTACCATGCAAGATTGGTCTCGGGAACACGAAAGGATCGTGCAGTTGCTGCGCAGGATCCAAGAAATTATGGACCCGGAGTTCGCGCCGGGAATGCCGTTGCACGGCTTCCGTGCGCCTTAAGGTTCCTTTTCTCCAGGTCACTGACCTGTTCGAAGCAACGGTAGTATTGTTTTGTAAAAAGTCCCCACGCGGAGCAGTCGACGCTGTCTTGCGAAAGCTGCATTTCGCGAGTGGATTGCGAAGGGGGGTCTTTCGGCATCCTAGGCAGCCTTGCTACGGAATGTAAAGTTGGGCGGGTCCTGCGACGCACATCCGAATCGACGCCGAGCTCGTTGTGTTCTGTCTGCTTGCTTGTCTTGGCAGCTTTGGCCCGAGAGACCCGGTTCCTCCGAGCCTGCTTGCTACTTTGCACATATGGATGCCCTGGCCGCTTCTTCGTCTTCTGCTTCTTCTGCTTCTTCGGCGATGTCAGATGCGGAAGAAACATTTATTCGAACTTGGCAGCTCGAAATTGCAAACAAATACGAGCATGGACCTTGGTCGGACATGGACTACGTTGTTTGGCACGGGTCCTACAACTTCGGGGACATCTCGGAGTGGCCTCTCGACGCTGTGGTGGTGAGCTCCGAGCCCGGCGAGAAGTGTCTGCTCGGCAGCTTGCGCTCGGCTGCAGACCTCCTCCATGTGCAGTTTCTCACGAACGTTCCCGTTACGGTTGTTGTCAGCATTTGTTGGACAACAGAGATGCAAGTGAAAGGAGCCCCTGAAGATTGGAACAAGCACTTCCTCGATTGCGGTGTGCATCACTTGCAAGTCGAGCTGGACGACCACCAGGTCAGGTACAGCCAGCATCCGGACTGGTTCCTGGAATGCACGCAGAACTGCGCCCAAACCTGGAAAGGCATGGCTGATGCTCTGTCGAGTGCACGCACAGCCTGCAGAAATGAGGGCAAGGACTTCAACGTGCTCTTCCACTGCTTCGGCGGCATCAATCGCAGCCCTGCAGCCCTTTGTGCATGGTTGAGGCAGGACACAAAGTGCAGCGCAGCGGAAGCTGTGGGGCGCATTCTAGCGGCTCGACCAGCTCTAAGATCGTGGAGACGCCGCGACTACGTGCTCTTGGCTTTGCACCGCCTTCAGTAGTTTCCCTAGTTTAAACCGTTGCTGCATGGCTTCGACGCTGTCTTGCGAAAGAGCCAACGTGGACGACGCCGGCGGAGGACAACGTTCGATTAGATTGCTCTGCTGTCTTGGCATGGCTGTGTTCGTGAGCTGGCCTTGCTTGGTCTGTCATGGCAGCGCACCCGTGTGCTTGCGGCAGGTGCTGACGTCTTCGGGTGGGTCCAAGTCGAGAGTCGCCTTTCTTAGGAGGCCGGGACGGTTGACCGAAGCACAGAGCTCTGTGAGTTTTAAAGCTTGGTTCTATTGTCGAGATGTCAGTCCTTTCACTTCTGGATGTTTTGGGGAACCTAAACCAGTCCGAACGGGCATTGCGCTTAGTCGTCTTTGATCTTTGACGCACTTATGTAGGGCATTCCAATGATTGCACATCGTGGGGAAGACAACAAGTTCTGTATTCCCTTGGTTTGCATTTCGGATTTGGGCTGAGATTCTGAAAGCGGCTTTTTCGACCCTGCCACGAGAGCTCTTAAACGTGGTGCTACCATGATCACGACGACAGTAACCTTGGCTGTGGCCTTGCTCTCGCTGTTGATGAGCACAAAGAAGGTCATGAACATGTTGTCAGGGGAGCACCTGGAGTGACAATGTGCTGTAACACGTGCCTCCCGACGCGTCCTGGAAGTTCTTACAGCTGGACAAGTCCCGAAGCAGACTGGGACGAGCTCGAGAGCGAGAACGAGACAGACCAGTCTCGATGCATGGTAACCTGAAGTACAGCCATTGTCTGCATGGCCTGACTGACCTCAAGGTCCAACGGCGTGTTGCCGCATGCAAGGACGAGATGTCCTCGACAACGAAGAGCTCCACCGTGTTGCCCATGAAGAAGACATTTGCTCTGGGAGCGTCGCAGCGCCGTGTCCGCGCGGTGCACCGGAATGAAGTTGCTGGCAAACCAAGAGTATTTAGGCCCTGAATCCCGCTGGCATGTGCTGTTTCCATACGCTACTTCTGGATTCGCACGCTAGAATTCCAGTGGCATCTCTAAGCATACTTGCCTGTCCGTTCAGCTAGCAGGAGACCACTGATGTAATGCGTCCATTCCACTCCTCCCGGACCCCTCCTCGACCCCCCTCCCTGTGTGTGGTCGCAATATAATGGATCTGCACAGTTCCCATTTCAGCATTAGGTCCTAGTCCGATTTCAACTTTTGATCATGGTCTTCGTGGATTGCTTCTGCTAAGCGCCGTGGTCATTGTTAGGTTATTCAGCTGCAGCCTGGAGATTACACAAGAACCGGTATCCATCGCGTACACGCACACACACACACAGAGGCCTCTACTGCTTCTCACGGAATATAACTGCCGTAGATGCTGGAAAACCCTTGCGTTGACTCGCAGCCGTGGTTATCCTTCTCTTCTTGTGTTGCCGCCTGGAGATCTTGTACGAAGCGGTATCCAGCTAGCAGAGAACCATCATGCGTTGGCTTTGCGAGGCTCCGTGTAAGCCCCTGATCCCCCTTAGCCCGCTGGTGTGGATCACTCGCTGTGGGTGATTGCAACCAGAGCGGTTATATAAAGCGTACACCTTGAACCTTGGCCTGGAGACCTCCTTGTGAGTGCTATGCAGCTAACAAACAGAATGGACGCAGCAGGTTCCCGAGGCTCAGTAACATATCGCTTTCGGTCGAACTGCTCCCGGCACCTGCGAAGGTGCCCGGAATGTGCACTGTGATTCGTTCACAGGCCGGGACGGTTGACTGGGGCTGATAATGTGCAAACGTCGTGAATGGTTTCCTTTGCAAGGCAGTTCCACGGATTCAGGATTGCTCCTCGGTTGAGTTTCAGCAGGGAGGGAGGAGGTTGTCTGTATTCCCTTGGTTTGCATTTCGGAGTTTGGGCTCAGATTCTGAAAGCAGCTTTCCTGCCCTGCCCCATTCGGCATCTCAACGGGATTCTTTCGAATCGTAGTGTTTCGGAACTTGACGATCTCATGTATAGGGATTTCTATGTATGGAAACAGAAGCGAAGCGAGAGGAACGACTCGCACTCAGAGGTGGTGGACTCGCGACCACCGGCGCCTGCTGGCTCTACAGGTTGCTGGCATGCCGAATGACGGACGGATGGAGTCGACCCTGGACGGATGGAGTCGACCCCGCCATCAGACCATGGGAACTCTCAAACGTCGAGCAGGGATGACACTCGGAGCGGGACAGGGTCAGCCCGTGGACGCGGTCGACGGAGAACAGCTTGCACGCAACATTTGTGCATGGTTTGCGGACCAGCACCACGAAGAGCTGTGCCGTGTTGCCCATGAAGAAGACATTTGCTCTGGGAGCGTTGCAGCGCCGTGTCCGCGCAGTGCACTGGAATGAAGTTGCTGGCAAACCAAGAGTAATTAGGCCCTGAATCCCGCTGGCATGTGCTGTTTCCATACGCTACTTCTGGATTCGCATGCTAGACTTCCAGTGGCATCTCTAAGCATACTTGCCTGTCCGTTCAGCTAGCAGGAGACCACTGATGTAATGCGTCCATTCCACTCCTCCCGGACCCCTCCTCGACCCCCCTCCCTGTGTGTGGTCGCAATATAATGGATCTGCACAGTTCCCATTTCAGCATTAGGTCCTAGTCCGATTTCAACTTTTGATCATGGTCTTCGTGGATTGCTTCTGCTAAGCGCCGTGGTCATTGTTAGGTTATTCAGCTGCAGCCTGGAGATTACACAAGAACCGGTATCCATCGCGCACACGCACACACACACACACACACACACACACACAGAGGCCTCTACTGCTTCTCACGGAATATAGCTGCCGTAGATGCTGGAAAACCCTTGCGTTGACTCGCAGCCGTGGTTATCCTTCTCTTCTTGTGTTGCCGCCTGGAGATCTTGTACGAAGCGGTATCCAGCTAGCAGAGAACCATCATGCGTTGGCTTTGCGAGGCTCCGCGTAAGCCCCTGATCTCCCTTAGCCCGCTGGTGTGGATCACTCGCTGTGGGTGATTGCAACCAGAGCGGTAAAAAAAAGCGTACACCTTGAACCTTGGCCTGGAGACCTCCTTGTGAGTGCTATGCAGCTAACAAGCAGAATGGACGCAGCAGGTTCCCGAGGCTCAGTAACATATCGCTTTCGGTCGAACTGCTCCCGGCACCTGCGAAGGTGCCCGGAATGTGCACTGTGATTCGTTCACAGGCCGGGACGGTTGACTGGGGCTGATAATGTGCAAACCTCGTGAATGGTTTCCTTTGCAAGGCAGTTCCACGGATTCAGGATTGCTCCTCGGTTGATCTTCATTCATTTGATGCCACGTACCCGCGCCACAGTCGAACTAAATTCGACTACCGCTCTTGCCATGGCCGACCCGACGTTCGGCTCTTGCGCCAAGCTGTTGGCCAAGTCCAGCAGAAGGTACACAATGTCGGGGGCAGAAGTATCCGCTGCGAACTCTGGGATGGACAGGATGCATGACATGGCCTCGACTCCACCACGACGAGTTGCTGCTTCTTCGCGAGCAGAGGGCGGCATAAGCATAGCGCGGGCAAATGCTTGCAGCTGCTAGTGGTCGTTGAGAGCCTTCGCCTGACATCCCCATGGCAGAGCGGGGTGACCCCATATCTCGGCCGAATGGGGGTGGCCTAAGTCTCCGGTCCGCATGACTGTCAGAGCACGTTCGTCTTTGCAAAGACGCCGGGGAGGCCATTACAGAAAGGGATGCTTAAGTCAGGTTGTGCACTTGCCGGCATGTTGAGGCGTGTGTGTGGCCGCTATCCAGGACTCGCTGTTTCGCGCACAGCTTCCTTGAGGGAAGAATGTAGTGCAGGGCAGCTTGTAGTTGTACGTCGTGATCCGGGTGTCACTTCCCTGAAGGATTGCTAGTGCCGGGCAGCTTGTAGTCCACACCGTTAGCCGGGTGTGGCGGGCCGCTGTGTGGGATTTTCGGGCTCTGAGGCCAACGGGGAGCTGCTCCCTATGACAGCAGGACATATGGGCTAACGTGCCT